TCAATGATATTAGCACCAGATCAGCTGATGAAGCAGTTTATCACGTCAATCCAATTTGAATAATCCAATTTGAATTGGCAAATATGCAAAACTGGCTGATTCTATGAAAAAAGAGAAAAACCATTAAAACGAGGAAAAATAAAAGGTAAAAAACCCAAGCAACAGTTTTGAAAACAAAACCAAAACCAAGAAGTTCTAGAGAAATACTATATACAATAAAAAAACGTAAGAGCTGGACATAAAGACATGCATCGAAGATCAAATACGAAGGAAGTAAAGGGCCACTAAAACTATTCGCCCTTTACTTCAGTTAGATTTTACTTCGGTTAGATTTGGGTATGCTTCAGGTATGCTTTGGGATCTGCTTCGGCCAGCACAAAAAAAATTTATTTTTTTATTTTTTATTTTTCTATTATTTGTATATATTTTATATATAAATATCTAATTTATTTATATTAAACTAAAAAAATAAAAAGTTCGAACTTCGAAATCTTCCCTTGAATCGCCTCCAAAAGCGAATCTAACAACATTGTGACCGACTCCAATTGCGCAGTTTGTTAGTCGGGTATTAAACCAAGTCCCAAAATCTCACCTACGATGGAAAACCTAAGTACATGTTTCTCAAGCACATGTAGGTGAGGACTCTTTCTCCTCTAATCTCTACTTTTATGGCTTGTCCCAGTTTGTAAATTTCCTGTTGGAATTCCTTTTGATTTCGAAACACTACGTACCTTATAAGGATCCCATACAAATTCAATAGGTTTTGGTTAGTATAGTACTACTTACTACTTTTTAAGTAAAACTTGGAAAATGACCGATTCCTCACAAAGTTCAAGTATTCATTTGGTTGGTGGTGCAAAATAAAGTCCTTACTATTGACAATTTGATCAAAAAAAAAAATTTTCTCCCAAACTTATGCATTATGTATAAGGAAGATAATGAAACCAGTACTTATTTATTTTTGCATTGCCCTTTTGTCTCTAGGATATGGTGTTGGTTTCTCATACAACTTGTATTTATGCCTTACAATGAAATTAACTTCTAAAATAAGCTATGGCGTGTGATTACTGTTTGGATTGGTGGTTGATTTTTTATCTTTCAGTTTTTTATATTCTCGCTCTTCATGTTGCAATCCACTAAGTAGATCTTGTAGCACTAGTTTGTATTAGTTTATCAAGCCATTCTATCAAGTCTTTTTTGACTCCCTCAATTATTTGATCCACAAGCTCTAGAATATTAGTGGTAGATGTTTGCGCTTAAATCATGGTACATGCACCTCAAGGCTTTGATACAAGATGTAGGGAGAAGAAATGAAAGAAAACAAATAAATCAAGAAACTACAAATAAAAATAAAGGGCTTAGATATTGTACACACTTTGCAAGTGAGCCACCCCAAAAAAGATCCTAGACTCAAATAAATTCTTCTCTTCTCTATCTGTTTTTCTTATAGTCCAATAGTTATATATATATAGAAACCCAAGCAGGCCCTGTAATACTCTCAAAGCAGGCGTCCCTCAATCTCAATCTTGGCCATGCGATATGCACAAAGCATGCCAAAGAATTCGCATAGCATCTATCACTTCAGTCGCACTACCAATAGGTGTCCCATTGCACAGTACTCAGTATCACAGTATCATAACAGAATAGTACCCACTACTAATGGGTGGCCCATTGCGTAGTGGTCAGTATAGCAATATCAGAACAAATCAATATCCACTACCAATGGGTGACCCATTGCGTAGTGGTCAGTATAACGGTATCAGAACAACATTTGAGTATCATTCTTTACTCACATTCAGTCAATACTCCATGGCAGACAATGCTGGTCTCATTGCTAAAGTTTGATGTCTCATACAGAACTATATAACTAACGTGTACACTATGCTTCCTAGCATAAGACATTTATCATAAGGGTTATCTCATGGCACTTATACTTTGTCAATAACCTTCAGACCTAACTTGTGTCTTAAGAAATCCTAATCAAAATTAAATCCATTGGGCCTTAATTTTAAAAAAGAGGTTCACATAAGTTGTCAATGCTGAAGTTGCACCTTCAAATATTTTAAGTCCTAAAAATAATACATCTTGTAATATATTATTTAGACCATCCATTTTTTAGATTGTCTAAATCATCCATTTTCAAAATTATCTAGACCATCGTTAATGATTTCCCATGTTGCTCTTTCATTCACCAAGCTCCAAGAATCACAACATCAAACAATTCATAAAAGTTTCCACGCATTAGACAACGAAGGTGGCACTCAGAGACAACATTCAAATGGGGCCTTAATTTGATAAAAAACAAAAAACAAAAATTCACTAGAAAAGGTCCTCAACACTGGAAGGCCCTCTAGTTGATCAACTTGACGTTGAGAATATGAATATGAAAAACGTAAGTTTTAAGTCTCAAAAATAGTTAATATTGTAACACATTATTTAGACCATCCATTTTCAAGTTGATTTGCACCATTTTTAGAAATTTAAATTTATAACTAAAGCCGGTTATTATGATGTTTTTTACACTAAAATTGCATCATCAGACAGCTTAAAGGTTCACCTTATTTTAATTATTTAACATGAACGCCTTATATAAACCTCACCCTAATTCGTGTAACCACAAAAAAATGGGAAAATGATAGGAATGTGATTAATGAGCTGGAATCTTGGCGGCTTTTGTAGCCAAAACCCCACAACCATTGTGTTCTTATATATATCACAAGCATCTCTACAAATATATTAACTTGGGAAAATTGCATAAAACCTCTAAAAAAAAAAAAATGGACTTTCTAAGCAATTTACCCTCGACCTAACTTTTTCTAGCAACTTTTTACCCAAAACCATATTTCCCCCAATTCAAAAAAAAAAAAAAACCAGACTAAATACCCCTCCCTTACCTCACACATTGACCATGGCGGTCTAGAGTTTGGAAGATACGGTCCAGCATTTGTAAGCTACGGTCCGGCAAAATTGAAAATTGTGTCTGGAATAGGTGGCGCGACAGTGTACGGTTCCGGTCCGGCAGAATGGATTGGTCCAGCATAATACAACTGCAGTCCGACATTCCCTTTTATTGTGATCCGAAAATGATTTGTTACGTACGGGAAGGATATTTTCGTAAAAAAAAATGAACTTTTTGTATTGGGGACATTTGCTATAAAACTTAATTTTTGAGAAATATGTTCAGAAAAATTAAGATAGGTAAAATGCCTAGAAAATCTATTTTTGAAGTTTATACAATTTTCCCTATTAACTTTCCTTAAATCTTGCTATTCAAGTCTAGAAATACCAAATAGGTCAAGGGAATGATCATTTGTATTTTCAAATCTCCCCGGTCAATTTTCACCTCCCACTGTCCTTTTCGTTAGTCCCTCCAATATGGTGGAAGAACCCAAAGGATAACACAAAAGACAGCAGCACAAACCCCTCTCTTTGAAATGTCACTATTCCTCACTCTTCACTTTTCCATCATCACTTCTCTCCATCTATCTCATATCTTCTCTTTCTATATTTTGCCATTCCATCAACCTACTCTCTCTCTTACTACTCTCTCTCATACTGGAACTTCAAAGTCTTGAATCATGTGTCACCACCACAAAAGGACGGGTTCCATACATATCTTATTGCCTAATCTCTCTGTAGTTTCATTCTCTGCAAATACCAGAGGATGAAGCGGATACTTATGTATCTGTTACCAATTTGGGTTTCAAACACAATTTATTCTTTTATGTGATTGTTTCCTTGGGTTTTTACATGATTCATGGCTCTTCTCAAAGAGTACAACAATGGTTTAAATTTCTTTAATTTGGCTTTCTAAAGAGGTTTGATGATAGAGACAGAAAGAAAGAGATAAGAGTGGGACTTACAGGTTTTTATGGGTAGTGCGAGATAAAGAAGGAGAATTTGGCTTTCTAGAGAGAGAGAGGACCAGCGGGGAGAGATAGATCTGATAAGAAGGAGAGGGAGAAAGAGTAAAGATGAAAGGGACATGGGTTTTCAGGAAAAGAGAATCCAAGAGATTCAGCGGGGCGAGAGAGATCTGATGAGAAAGAAAGAAAGAAAGAAGAGAGATGAGAGGTATATGGGTTTTTACGAGAAAAAAGAGAGAGAGAGAGAGAGAGCACGAGATTTGTTATTTAGATGTACTCTGAAGATACAAGAGGGTGAGAGAAAAAAGGGGTAAAAAGGAATTTTGAAAGAAACAAAGAATGAAAAACTCTTATACACCGTAATATCATGTACTTTCAATACACCGGATCATTCCCATGTGTCTATTTTATATCAGAGTCCCATCCGAGCAGTGGACGTTGAGGCTTTAACAGCAGAAGTTTCTTTTTTTTTGTTTTTTCTTTTCTTTTTTCCGAAAATGATGATTTGATGAAAAGTAAAGTTATTTATCTATAGTAAGAATGAAACTCAAGACGTTACATTATAACGCCCTGTCAACTATACTACTTTCCATCTGTGAAAAATGGTAGTTCGATGCTTTTTTGGTAGCCACAACTTCCAAAACAGAATCAAGTGATGGATGTGTTGGCTTCCATGACCTCCCATAGAAACCACCACTAAAGAACTCACGAATCAAACATGTCTTACAAAATTCATTACGAAGGTTGATGACATTCAGTTTTTATTTTTAACGGAGAGGTATGCTCATACTTTTACAAAATATGCCCATATATATTCAAAATGTAACTCCTTTTTAAGAAAGAAACATTCTCTGAGACTGAAATAGACAACCTGCACTTCCTGAACCATAAAAAACAATTTTCAAGAATCTTTTTCAAAATGTTTCTTCATGGGCTCTGGAAGAAATGCCCCCAAGGCACCAAAATAGGGGACCATTGACCTATGTAGCATCCACCCAATGGTGGGTGGATGAAATATTTTCCCTTTTCTTTTGGCTGTATTGCATGATGGAATGTGTGTGCGCAATGAAGAACTATCCACACGAGTCCATTAGCAATCAACATACGCACGGGCACGCACAATTGTCCAATCTGCATAATATTATAATAAGAAATGCATATTTGTGCGCCTTCAGCTTTGAATTGCAGAGTTTCAAATCCTCAGGTCTCAATTGGAATAGGAAGAGGAGTTTCGGTGGAAGAAGCAATTTTGATTCTTTTGATGTATTTAAGAACTGTTTGGTCGCTGGCGCTTCTGAACATCAAGTGGACCTCTACCAGGCCCGTTATACCTGCTGCTATCTGCTGTCCTGCTTTTACAGGGCCAACTCCGGGTGGAGTACCTAGTAAATAATCAATTGAAACTAATTAATTGATTAATTTTTGTAATATAACGTTCGAAGACACTTTTAAGTATTTTCTCATTTTATTTTATCATATGGGGCTTTCAATGGTAAAAAAATGGCAGAAGACAAAAAAAAAAGAACAAAAAAAGATCGAAGTAGAAATAAATTGATAGAAAAATGCTGAAAAATTCAAGCCATTACCAGTCAGTATGACGTCTCTTTCAAAAAGAGTCAAAATAGAGCTTATATGACCGATAAGGAATGGGATCTTAAACATCATATCTTTGGTTGAACCCTTTTGTCGGGTTTCACCATCTACCTGCGTAATCCCTTCTTGTCAACTCATATATAATACAATAATGAAAGAAACATAAGGAACAAGGAAATATGCCAATCAATTAGAGAAAAGAAAAATACAGAAAACAATAGCACGACTTGGGATGATAACCTTTAGCCATAACTCCAAGTCATGAGGGTCCTTCACCATAGACGTGGGTATCTGCAGGGAAGAAAACTGATACATTAGCACATTGAAGAACAATAATTAGATTCACATGTAAAAATGGTATATGATAGAGGAGGACATATGATGGATCGGAGAAACAATTTTTTAGACCTTTGTTGTACAACATTTATCGGAAACTTCTAAATTGTTGGAAAAAAAATGCTACGACATCCACACCTAGATTATCTATTTATAAGCCTAGTTTGTAGTAGGACATAATTCTTTTCCTCTGGAGGATCAAAGGGAATTCCAATTTTCTATGACAGAGTGGGCAATATACCAGGCTGTTCAATGGATAATCAAGTTCGAAGACCATACAATAAAAGACAATGAACACTAAGAAAAGAGTCAGAACAGGGTCCAAAATTAATAGGCCATTCAAGTGAGATAGAATTGCACATGAAACTATGGTAATACAGAATAACTATCCAAGTCCGATGCATGTGTTCATTCTTGATATGCCTACCCCTTGTATGTATCATTACCAGTTGATATAAACCAGCAGATTCCCATGGATGAAGCAACCTAGACTGCCATGGTTTTTAATACAAAATATATATCAGGTCTGGCTAGTGTTAGCTTCCCTAGGCAGTTTGTTGCTCAAAAAGCAGGCATCCAGTCTGATTTCAAGATTTATCATCTAGTCAGTTTCTTGACAGTCATGTCCCCAGCTGAATGGAATGACATTGTTTCGTCCACCACATACAACCCCACATTTCCCCAAGAGAACAACGACCCCAATTGGAACAAACAAATTTAATTTCAATGTTGATTCAAAAGGAAACCCAGGACCCAGTGGAATTGGGGAAGTATATACTCAAAACAGCCAGGGACATATCCTCCTAAATTTTTTCACTCCCTGCAGGCCATGGAGATGCAAACTTCGCCAAACCTGGGAACTTCTGGCTGTTCTCTGAAACTTCTACAACCAATGGGATGATAACTTGCTCATCAAGAGCAATTCAGTGAACACCATAACATAAGCCTGCATGAGACATCTTGGCCATGGAGACTGCACCAAGCATTCAAAAAAATCCATGACATCCTTGCTCAAATTACTTACCAATAGATTTTGTAGAAGGTAACACCCTAACACCCTTGCGGATAAGTTAACCAAGAAATGCTGCATGCCTATCATCAGTGATACCCCATGCACGAACCAGAGTTAGCAGTACGCCTACCACCATTTTATACCTATTTCATTAGTCTCCCAAATTTTGTATGGCTAAAAGAACACATAATTTTGTCTCTCGATACCCCATTGTTTTGTTGTCTTACCAGCTTAAAGCCCACAATTGTACAAAATACAGTTTTGCAATAAAAAAATGTAACGAAAAATAAAAATAAAAAAAGTAGCCATTTCATTAGAGAATTCATTGTGAAACTGCAGCACTAATGTGGTTTGTTGTTTGTAAAACCACAGGAAGACTTGCCATATACAAGTATGATGCACGGATACAGGTGTGGTTACAGCTTCACCATCAATCTATGGCCATTTTCCAAAGGTTTTCAAAAAAACCATCAGGATTTTGGCAGCTATTATGAAGCATCCATGCATAATAGATAACAGTGAGGCATCCCAAAGAACAACTCATATAGTAACAGAATTCGCTAATAAATAGCTGAAACATGCTGAATCAATCATATAGTAACAGAATTCGCTACTAAAATAGCTGAAACATGCTGAATCAATTATACAAAATCATCTATTTTCTTAGGTAAGTTATTGCAGATTTATCTATTTTATTGGCAAGTTATTTGTATGAAACTCAGAAAGAACATCGCTCCCTCTCCCTCTCGCTCTCGATATATATATAGGAAAAGTCTTAAAAACACCTATAGGCTAAGTGCTACAGTGCTTCGCCACGGACATACATGAGCCATGGCAGTCCCCCCATATTTGACCCATATTTTTTGCGTGAAAAAAATCCCATCACGGACTTGCTATGTCCGTGACAGATCGCCACGGACATGCTAAGTCTGTGACGGTCATTAATCCACGCCGTCCAAAAAATCGGACGGCACCGAGCCTATGGACGAAAATACTATTCATTTTCGCCAAT